ACAATTCTCCCTGTTAGCAGATATAACTATGCAGCTGTTAGACAACTTGTTGAGCAGGATTCCTTTTCATTAGAGGCAATAAAAACACCACACAGTTCAGTACGTGCTTTTGATTCTGACAGAGGAGAAGTGGTTATTAAGCAATCCACCTGCACTAGAAGTTTTATTCACCTTAATACGTGACAAACAACATGCCCAATTAGCTTTCAATATGCACATCACTTCCTCTTATTGACATGTGAAAATAATAGCACAGTTCAGATTATAAATCTTATCACTCCTATGTCTTTTCTGCTTGGTTGATGCTCCAGGCCAAGCTGCAGAGTTTCAGAATTATGATCTCCTGCATCAAAATGGGACAGTTCGATGCTGGGACACCAGGACGCTGGGACTCCCTGCTGCTAAGATGCGCTGCTACTGATGCTGAGCCGCAGGACCTCTTGACACTATCTCCCATAAACTTTGTATGTATAGCAGATGCTTTGACACCTACAACACCTTCACTGTGAATGTACCTTTATTGTTGCATTCAGTGTAGTTAAAAGGAAATTAGTCTGCCTTAAACTTTTATTTTAATATTTATTCTTTTTCTTTCATCGTCAACATGGTTAGGCTAGAAATCAAAAATAGAAAAGTGTAATTTAGCTTTTACATGTAGTTTATTGGTATATGTTTTTTATGTTGCATGCAGGGTGTAAGAAAACAATAAGAGCCAGTACGTTTTTATTTGATCTTTCCTTAATTTAAAGTTGTTTTCACCCTTTGTCTTTGTGTAATCCAAAAGTTACATTATTTTTTTTTTTACAATCTGTTTATATAATATTTAGCGGTTAAATCAAATTATAGCTCTAGTTGGTTACATACATTGGGTTGTACATATGGCACTTTTGGCTTCAGACAACATGCCAGAAAACTGGGAAAGATTCATTTTTCCCAGTTAAATTTCATGAGATTCCTCTATGAAGGTGTGGACTCAGCACCGATGTTCCTTGGTCAAGGAAATGCCCCTGCGTGTACCTATCCTCTAATGTAGGACTGGGCCTTTATTTCACTCAGATACATCTTGGTCCAGGCCATTATTGGAAGGAGGCCAGAATTAGAGGCAGGTCTTTATTTGATCAAAACAGACTACCAGTGGAATGAATAAAAACGAGATTTTGTCTCTTTGAACCTATAAAATACTAGGTTCATTTATTGAAAAAGTACAGTTACCATAACGGTATACAGAACATTATTCAGACTTCTTCCAGCGGCTGCAATTTTTCTGCACGGCAATACAAGAAAAGAAAAAAAAAAATACACAGAATGGAATCTTGGCCAAACTGACTTGCAAAACAAAATTTGGCTGTTCTGCCATCACAGCGAAGTTTTATTTGAGGCAGGCTAAGTGGAAGTTGGCTATGAGTATCATATATTTCAAGGGAAATTCAGAACAACGAAGGCCAACGAAATTCTGTCATTTCAACGCTGCCTGGTTACGACCAGACCTACCGGTGATCACATTTGTCTTTCAGATCAGAACGATTGTGTAAGGCCACTACGATCTCTGTGTAAGGATGGGACTTCCCATGCTAATGGCTTGGGGTCATTACCAAACATTGCCCCCCTGTGGTACCTATCACAAGTTGTTGAGGACTGCCCAGGAACATCGTTGGTTCTTATTATAGCCCAGCCTGTATACCAGTCCGGCCATTATTTACCTCCGCCAACAGTGAGACCTGCCATTGTTAGAGACCCGGCCGCTAATGGAATACAGGCCAATATTAGAGGATTTATGGTAATTTAATCAGCATTTTGTACTTTTTGTGACAACTTGTCATTTGGGAAGAGCCTCAGTACTGATTGCTGTAGGCATGTCTTTGTCTCAATTATATTAAAGTGAGTATTGATAATTGTTGATAATTGTTGTCTTGTAAAAATTAAGAATAAGAATAAATAAATAAATAGAATAAATAATTTATCCTGATATAAATAAAATGATATTATAATAACATTTTGCTGTTTGGGATAGGCTCTATATGACTTGAATTTATTGTTCTGCACTCTCTGATGAAGAGGAGAATTCTGCCCTCTTCTGGATCAAATGTCCGATTGCATTTTAAATTAAGCTTTAGAGATAATTCAAATTATTCGTCATGGCCAAAAGTGCAAGCAACCCTACGATTTTCAATAAAAGGAAGTATTTTTCCAAGGAAATTGTTATAATTACATGTATAGTTTTACACGTATATTTCTTTTGTGTCTGAAAAAAACCAAAACAAGAGGACAAACCCAAATCCACATATTAACATTTAAATTATTATAATAGATTATTACAAAATTGAGGATGAATAACTGTTTCAAACATGGGATTTTCATTTAAACTCACCAAAAGCAAGAAACAGGTGGGGGCAGCAAAACAATCACATTTGAAATTAGATAAAGGAGAAGTTAACACTATATTTGTACTGATTTCTGTGTGACATACTTTGTATGGAGAAATTATCTGAGGATTTCAGTGCCAAAATTGTGAAATTATCCACATTCTCAAGGTTACAAGTCAATCCTCAGATATCTTGATGTAGTGTAGAATATCTCTGAAATTATCTCTGAAATTATCACATCATTCCACTGTAGCTAATCCCCCTGGATTTGGACAAAACAGAAGAGTTGATGAAAGACTGTAACACAGGATATCCTTAACGAGCCGTCCTAATGGAGTTGAAAACAGATACCCAAGCTGTCCTGCAACCTGAGGTTAGACTAGTGTTAGAAAGAACTAAATATCAACATTTCAATCAGCTGAAATGATAAAGCAGGGAATCCAGGAGGACTCCACTACTGACAAAGAAACATAAAAACCTAGACGGTAGTGTGTCAAAATATGAGTAATCAAAAATCTTGCAGAGAAAATGGCTTTATTGGTAAAGCTCGTCATTCTGCTGTCTGCTGAAAAGATGAGGAAAAAAATAGCACGGTACCTCCAGCCAAGTATTTTAAGTTCATAGATATTTTGTTTGTTTGTTTGTTGTTGTTTTTTTTTTTTACCTCTGACACTACATGACCTTTCAAAGAGGAGTTGTCTAAATGTTTAGTTAAGGGGCGTGAGAAGTTTGTTGATTATTTTAGGAAACAAGTGATTAAATATGTTTTCTCTAAAGGGATGCAACTAAATATTAAGTAGAGAGTACCAATTACTTTTACTGGAACAATTTTTGGAGGTTTTAGGTTTTTAATTCTGCAAAAATTCCCAGGTGACAAAATTTTTAGCCATAACTACTAAACCGATATGAATAATGAGTCTAGTACCTTGGAGCTGTTATGGTTCTCCCCTTGTGTACTTCTTTTTGAGTTTCTTTTTAAAGTTTTCATTTTGATTTATGTTATTCTGTGTTTTCTTGTCCAGTGGGTTCTTTTCCATTTTCTGTTATTTTTATGCAGTTTTGTCTTTCTTTAGTTGCTCTCTATTGCCCCCTTGTGCCTTTTTTGCATTTCTTTCTGCTTTCTCACACCTGCTCTATATCAGATCATAAGCCCATTCTTTGTACTGTTCCCTATTTATACACCACCTCTGCAGTTTCCCATTGCTGGTATCTTGTTGTTTTGTTGCTCTGTCATTGTTTGGCTCGTCATGCGTGTTTTCTCCTGGATTTTGTTTCTGTTGCCCTTTATTTTATTAAACCTGCAAGTACTCATCTCTGCATTTGGTTCATCAACCCTCACATTGGCAAGTACCTTATAAGCACAACATATTAATTCACCAATCAGATTGGTCTTGGTACAGGTGATATAATGCTGTGAATCATTTGGCAGACTTTACGTTGTTGAGTATTGACACAGTCATGTCTTTGATCTTAAGTTATACGTTTATTGATAGAAATCTATTTTTGGCGAACAGTAGCACACATTTACAAATGAAGTCACAATAGGAAGCATTTAGAGAACTGGGAATTGTGAATTACATTACATTATGAACAGGTACAGTAATCTCATTAAATAAACTTAAGTCATAACAGTCAGACAAAACTATCTCAACTCTGAGATAAATAAAACTTTTATATTAATTTCAAACATACAAACAATCAAGCAAGATTACCCACTACATGCTTTTTTGTTCGTTAAAATGTAAACTAATGTGTTAAAGAGAAAAAAATGGCATCTATGATTACGATAAATTATAAACAGACATAAGTTGGTACTTTTCTGCCATTATGCAGTACCTGCTTCAAAGATAAAAACAGTTCTATTAGAGTCTAAATCTAGGGTCTGCTCCAGACATCGTTATTGCCTTCATAGCGTGCAAAGTAACTGTCTAAAAATATAACATTAATGTGTCGATTCAGATAAAAGATACTTTCTAATTCATTGAAATTATTCCATATGCTCATTTTTTAAATTTACTTCTAATAGATTCAAAACTATTGCTTGTGTTTGATTGAGATAGGATGATTCTCAGCATTTCAGAGGATTATACTTAATAAAAGTTTGTAAAAAATTTTTTATCTCTTTCCAAGACTTAAATACATTAGTGGCAGCAATAGAATGAAAAAATATAGCAGGATAGTAGAAGAGTGATCATGTCTGTTGCCTCAGAGGCAGCCCTAAAAACATTATATCTCCAGAAAATGACCCTTTCTGCCCTTAGAATTTTTTTGTCTGTTTATGGATCTCCTTTGCTACTTCAGTTTTCTCTAACAGTGCAAGCTAAGCAAAGCTGAAAGTATGAATTATTCGTAGATGCAGGATAATTTTCATTTGTCCACAATTTGACTATTTACATAATCAGAATATATATCTTTTACCTCCCAATAAGGATGCATGTAGGCCTACATACATTGATATAAGGAATGCTGTGCTCAGTTTGGGAAACTTTTTTCTCCAAAGAATCAAACCTTATTATTCAACCTGCATCAGAGAAACTGAACCGGACTCATTCTTACACTCTTGTTTTGATCCAAACCCGAATGCAGCATAAAGTGGTTCATTGAATGTGGTCTGAAAGGTATGAAGGTGGATCTTTTTTATTGAGAGCACCATCCCAGGACCTCCCAGTAGCAGCAACCAGTCAGACCATCTCTGCACAGCACATGTTTCCAGGTGTCAAACCTCTCTGGATGATCAGCATAGGGCTGCTTCTCTTCTACCATCTCTGCCTGTTTGTTGTCTTCACTCAGTAGGAGATTTTTGTTTGCTGTGTTGGGATCCAATTTTTGCTCAAGGAAAACTGATAATAGAAAATAGACAAGAGTCACTACATAATCTCTGAAATATAAATTTTTGTTGTTATTCTAACCTTGGCATTATTTAGACTACAAAATAGTTTATAACATATTGATTTATTCTTTAATGGATTTAAAATATTGCCATACAATTGATTCAATCTGTTGATGAGATTAGAGTAACTGCCCAGTGACTGTTACGAACTAAAAAATAAAATGAGCCATATATAGTAAGAAATTACAAAAGGACTTAAAGTAAAACAGTGAAACAGGCAAATTTATCCACGGTCATTTGTAAGGCAATCTAATAAATAATTGAACTTTATTAATCTCACACTGGAGGAATTTACCTCTGCATTTGACCCATCCCTATGGGAAGCAGTGGGTTGCCATTGTGCGGTGCCCAGGGAGCAGTCTGGGGTTAAGGGTCTTGCTTAGAGACCTAGAGTGCAGGCTGTTGGGATCGACCCGGGTACTTGCAACCTTCTCAGAGCAAAAGCGCACTGATCTAACCATCAGGACAACACTCCCCAATCTTAGTCAAACCTTAGATTGTTGGTAGACTTACAGACACCCTTTCATCCCTCTGGTGTTTTTCTTTACTACTCCCTATCTCTGCCTTTAGGTATCATTTTTATTTATTTTGGACAGTATCTTAAGTTCTCTCTTTATCAATTTAGTGATACTACACCTGGCCAACTGAACGTGTGCTTGACTGTTTCTCCCTTCAGGTTTAAACATTCAACTAAGTGTGATGATCCCCTACTGTCCAGTAGGTGTTGCCATTTCACTGTTTGATTTTTGTTCTTTTCAGGAAGAAGGTAGAGGGGCTGCTAATTGAAGGCACCTGGTGGCTGTTAAATACTGGCATCCAGTCAGTCACTGGCTCTGCTTGCTTTGGCCTCCAGACGAGACCGGAACAGGCAGCATTAATCTACACTTCTCTTTGACTGGCTGAGCAGCTCTTCGATGCCATAATTGGGAGAAAATAAATTGTTTGTTTGAATCCGCTCGTCTGTCTCCCATTTTTGTCAGTTCCTATAAGTGGGGAGTGACAAAGGGGGTCTTTTCTGGGATTTGAACTCGGAACCTCTCGCCATCGTCATTGCTGTAACTTACAGCAGGTTCTCTCTGTAACAAACAGCAGAATTCCACTACATTTAGTTTTAACATTTCTTATTTCGTTGTGGGAGATAAATGCTCACATCGAGCCTGGTTCAGCTGGAGTGAAGTGTGAAGTGAAGTGATTCTCAACAATGCAACAATTGGCCATCTATGTATAATAAAATCCTAAAATCAACAACCCAATACTTTGTGTCAACTGTTGCTTGCCCTGAAGATGGGTTTGCTATACAGTCTCTCACAAAGTATAACTGCTAAAAAAACACAGATGGCTTAACTCCAGTGATCTGGTTTGTCTTAGAGATTATATGTGTGAAATAAATACATTGAATTTAACCCACACCCTTGGGGATGCACTGGGCTGCCATCGTGCGACGCCTGGTGAGCAGTCTGGGGTTAAGGGTTTTAGACCCAGAGTGGCAGTATGTGGCGGTGGGGCTTGAACTCAGAACCTCAGGATTCCGAGCTCTATACCCTAACCACTAGGTCGCCACTCCCCCAAATGTGCTACACATTTAATCCTTAGCCAGCTGGCTGCATTTCTGCAATTGCAGCATCACACAGCCAAGAGAGAGCTGGGACTACCTCACTTACCAAGTTGGGTTAATGACAGTAATCAGATCACATTAGTAATCATTCCTGCCACCTTGGTCGTTTCACAAAACACACAGAGCAGATAAAGGTATTTTGTTTAAAAAAAAATGTCTGTCTTGATAAGTTAGTTGGCCTGTGTTACGTCAAAATGACGTAAAATGAAATTGAATATAAAATAATACGCTTATAACTAAAAATATTGAACTTACACCGTTGGGGTGATGGATTCAGGCGCAGCTTTTCACAATGAACTTTTTGTAACTTTGTATCGTCCACCAGGTCCTTACTCTGAATTTTTAGATGAGTTTTCAGAGTTCCTTTCTGATTTGGTATTAAATACTGACAGGGTCATCATAGTGGGAGATTTTAACATCCATGCTGACATTGAAGGCGATAGCTTAAGAGCAGCCTTTAATGCTATCTTAGACACTATTGGCTTTGTTCAAAATGTGAATAGTCCCACGCATTCTCATCTTCATACTTTGGATCTTGTGCTGACATACGGCATAGAATGTGAAGAAATAACAGTATTTCCTCACAACCCTGTCCTCTCTGACCACTTTCTAATAACCTTCAGGATTACTTTAACAGAGTTCTCTTCCCCCAAAAGAAGGTTCAATTTTAGTAGATCTTTATCAGATAGTGCAGTTATAAATTTTAAAGAATCTGCTTCACTTTCTCTCTGCTCTGTGTCACTGAGCAGTGCTGCAGAGTGCAAAAGCTTAGCTTATTCCCCTTCACAGGTTGATGATTTTGTTGAGGGGGTTGCTAGTTCTCTGCGTATTGCCTTAGACAACGCAGCTCCTTTGAAAATGAAAACCGTTAAAAATAGAAAGCTTGCTCCTTGGTTTAATGCAGAGCTGCGTACTTTGAAGCAAAATGCTAGGAAACTGGAGAGAAAATATCGCTCCACAGGCCTGCGAGAGTCCTTCCTAGTCTGGAAAAATGGTTTACTGCTGTATAAGAGGACCCTTTGTAAAGCAAGAGCAGCATACTTCTCCTCATTAATAGAGGAGAATAAGAATAATCCTAGATTTCTTTTTAATACAGTTGCCAAACTCACCCAGAGCCATAGCTCTGTTGAACCGTCCATTCCACCTGCTCTTAGCAGCAATGATTTTATGGGATTCTTTATAAATAAGATTGATCTTATTAAAAATAAGATCATAAGCACTCCTCTATCCGCGATTGTACCTGAGGTAGTCATGGAATCTGAACCGGGTTTAGACTGCTTTGATCCAGTTGAACTCTCTGAATTAGCAAAATTATTGTCTTCATCTAAGCCTTCAACTTGTATGTTAGATCCAGTTCCAACCAGGTTATTTAAGGAGGTATTCCCTTTGATCTCCTCCTCCATTTTAGATGTGATTAATCTATCTCTGTTACAGGGATATGTACCTAAAGCTTTTAAGATTGCTGTAATTAAACCTCTGCTTAAGAAACCGTCTCTTGACCCAGATGACTTGGTCAATTATAGACCTATATCCAATCTTCCTTTCTTATCCAAAATTCTTGAGAAAGTAGTTGCCAAACAAGTTTGCGATCACTTCCACCATAATGAACTTTTTGAAGAGTTTCAGTCTGGCTTTAGAGCTCATCATAGCACTGAAACAGCTCTGGTGAAAGTCACTAATGATATTCTCATGGCCTCAGATAATGGACTTGTATCTGTGCTCGTCCTGTTGGATCTTAGTGCTGCATTTGATACAGTTGACCATAATATTCTTTTAGAAAGACTTGAATATTTTGTTGGAATTAAAGGAACAGCACTAGACTGGTTTAAATCTTATCTATCTGATCGAATTCAGTTTGTTCATGTTAATGATAGATCTTCAACACGCTCAAAGGTTACCTGTGGAGTACCACAGGGATCAGTGCTAGGACCAATTCTCTTTACTTTATACATGCTCCCAATTGGTAGAATTATTAGACAGCATGGGATTAATTTCCACTGTTATGCTGATGATACCCAGCTATATCTGTCTATAAATCCAGATGAAGCTAACCCATTACATAGATTACAGGCATGTCTTGAAGACATAAAAACCTGGATGACTCTTAATTTTCTGCTTCTGAATGCAGACAAAACAGAAGTTATAGTCTTTGGACCAGAGTCTCTGAAAAAGAAACTGATTAGCCAGTCACTTCATTTGGATGGGATTAAACTGATTTCAGATAATAAAGTAAAAAATCTTGGTGTTATTTTTGATCAGGACCTGTCATTTAAATCCCATATCAAAGAGGTTTCTAGAATTTCCTTCTTTCATCTGAGGAACATTGCAAAAATGAGAAATATCCTGTCCAGGGGTGATGCTGAGAAACTAGTCCATGCATTTGTTACTTCAAGGCTGGACTATTGTAATTCTTTACTATCAGGAAGTCCACAAACTGTAGTTAAAAGCCTTCAGCTGATCCAAAATGCTGCAGCCAGAGTTCTAATGAAAATGAAAAAGAGAGATCATATCTCTCCTATCCTGGCTTCTCTTCATTGGCTTCCTGTTAAATCAAGAATAGAATTTAAAATCCTCCTTCTCACATATAAAGCCTTAAATGGCCAAGCTCCATCTTATATCAGAGATCTGATTGTTCCTTATGTTCCTAACAGAGCACTTCGCTCTCAATCTGCAGGTTTACTAGTGGTTCCTAGAATTTCTAAAAGTAGAATGGGAGGCAGATCTTTTAGTTATCAGGCTCCTCTCCTGTGGAACCAACTACCAGTTTTAGTCCGTGATGCAGACACCCTGTCTACTTTTAAGGCTAGGCTTAAAACTTTCATTTTTGATAAAGCTTATAGTTAGGGTGGCTCAGGTTATCCTGAGCTATCTCTATAGTTATGCTGCTATAGGCTTAGACTTTTGGAGGACATAGGGACCCCCATTTCATCATTCTGCTTCATTCTCTCTCTGTTCTCCTATTCTGCAGAATCTGTTAGTTCAATCTCTAACCTTCTGCTCTCTCTGCTTTTCCTCAGAGTAGCTTTGCCTCGTCTGTTCCTGTTTGGCTGTGACGTCATCCTGGAAAAAACATCAGCTGTGCTGCTTCTATCAACACCCTTGTTAATAGATGTTGGAGATCGGCCTGTTTTCCAGTGTGGTCCTGTTTCTCTGACCGTGACTGAGTGGATGTGCTCTCTTCGTCCTCTGGCATGGGAGCTGCCTTGGAGCTCGTCTGCCTGGCTGTGTGTTTCCTGGACGGGGCCGCCTTTTACAGCTGCTTTTTGTATCTCTGCTTCTGTCTCCTTGAACCCCAGTCGGCCTCGGCAGATGGCCGCTCACACTGAGCCTGGTTC